TCATCAAAGAACAAATAGCAACTTCAAATCAGACAACTGAGTACTGTGTCAACGAATGAACTATTAGCAGGTAACTGGTGCCAGGGAGGGATTTTCATTCTTCTGGGGGACCTGACTGCTGGCAGTTTGCTCATGTTTGCATGAACATATGGGCAATACAAAGGACATGAAGTCTGGAGGATGATTTGGGGGAGACCACTAGGTAGATGGAGATCATGGTCATGGATATGATCTATATACATAACACAAACACATGAAACCTTCCAAAAATAAAAATATATATTAAAAGTGAATTATGTGTCACTCCACACTCAGCACACAGAGATATCAGCACAACTCCCCAGTAGTTGAGGAAGACGGGCACATGACGCCGTCATACCTGTGTCTTCACAGGAGTCACGTAGCCTCTCCTTCTCCAATCCACAAATTTAGGGACATAGCTGACCCTACGTTGCTGGATACTTCTCCTCTTCCTAAGAGTCTGAACTGGAATATCAGTCATCATTTTCCTGAATTCTTCACCAGTCTTCACGGAAAAGAACATAAATCATTAAAAAGCATAAGACTTCACATAATGAATTGAAATAAAAAACAAAATAACAAACCAACAAAAACCACAATGTAAATAAAGCAATGCAAATCACAGTCACCATGTCACCAAAGGCATTCATTTCCATGGTGAAGCCTTTCTTCCCCTGGTTATATTCCATATTGTGCTGGAGAACCATTTTCTTATTTTCTTCCCATACTGTTCTCCTCTGTCCTTCTTCCTCCTGGAAATAGACATAATGGATGACATTTCTTTCTGATCAAACCGCTACACAAGCTGACCAAGGGGACTCACTGCCAGCGGTGACTAGAGGTCGTGAGACAGATCTCGGGACACTGCATCAGAAGCCATTCTCCAAACACCTAAGAACAGAGATCCTGGTCACCTTGTGCTCTCTGTGCACAGCTTCGGGCAATTGCTGAGGTGGTCTCTCTGGCCTCTGTCGCACCCACAAACCCCAACAACACGGACCATTCTCTGTGGGGCCGCTCTGGACAGTTTTTATATTACCCACCAGGCTGTAGTTTTTTCCATATTTTATCTTCCACTCCTGCCATTCAGAATCCAAACTGTGATCAGATGAGGGAGCAGCTGTGGCCACTCCCAAGCACAGGATGGCCAGGAAGACAAAAAGAGTCATCTCTCACGACCTGGAGAACGAGGAGGAGAAATAGAACTGGGACGACAGCAACGCTTCTAAAATAACTCTTACTCCTTCCTGAGAAACAAAGACATCCATGGTGCAGAAAATTACCTGAAGTACTATTGCAAATATTTATCCACAGACTTTGGAAATGAATAAATACATATTTTGGATAAAGATACCATGGAGGTATTTAGATGCTCCACCAAAATGCAAAGTGTGTGTCCAAACAGCCTATGTGCTACAAGCTTTTATTGTCAGAAGGACGTCCACACGCCTCAAAATTAAAAAGTTACACAACTGGGGGCTTAGTACATGGAGTTGTATGACATGAAGCTTGTCCTATGTGGTGTTTGATCCTAACCATAAGGTAACCCCAAGAGTTGTGGCCCAACAACAATCATATCCCCACCTAATCATCGTTATGTAGGCTTGTCATGAAAACCCCCCTCTTGAATGAAAATTTTCTGAACTGTTGTTTTTCGAAAATATAAGGAGGATCAATATGATTCCCTTGATTCCACCTTTGTGATTACATACTTTATTCTCTACTTCAGTGATGAAAGGATGACAGGGAAAAGCCACTGAAAACCAGTGTAGGTGGGATACAAGGTATAATCACTTTTGGATTCAAGTCACGACTTAATGTGTTTCTTAAACAACACTCACTATAAGACTTATTGAGGGCCATACAATCTACCAATACTTCTACATATGTCAGTGAAGAATGTTCCAATTTCCCCAGGGGCAGTGTGCAAGAAGATGATCCCTGTTGGTTCAGGGAGAGAAGGAAATGATACCTGAAGCACAAGAATCAGATGAATGACTCTCTATAAAAAGCCACAGACTTGGACTTTATGGGAACCAATGCCAAGTTAACCCATGGGGGGGCTGTTTTTCCCTTTTGTTTTTCTACCCACTTCCACCTCCACACAGTAGAGTTGCAGATGTTAAACGTATAGTTTCATTCCTGCCCAATTCTCCAGAAGGATCCTCTCATTCCCTGTCCCTTATCATTCTGTCTTAGAAGAGGTGTGGCCTTACCGGGAAGACTTCTGATGCCTCAATGCTTTCCACAGACTCAGTTTAAGGCTTGGATGAGATCCCAGGATCTTGAATGGCTGAGATTCACTTGGGCCTTAAATACAAAGTTTCTGGCCAGTAAGTCAGTCTTGCCCTTCTGATTGGCTATGCTGGTGACTGGATTGGGCCTCCAGGTTCTGGGACAAGTACTGAGATCTGATCCCAGATGTCCTGGAGGGGTGGGTGTGGGCTGCCTCAGGAGACTGTGTGGACCTTATCAGAAGAAGGCAGAGAACCAGCCTTTGTTCCTTGAAGGATCACATGATACATGATGCTTTTTGTAAACAGATGACTCAAAAATAAAATAAATAAAATAAAATAAAAAACAAGTTTCCTGGTAAAGTTGTCAACCATACAACGTCTTAGTGTTACTATAGCTGTGGCGAAACACCATGAACAAAGAAGCTTGAGGGGGAAGGGTTTATTCAGCATGTGCTTCCTCCTCAAAGTTCATCAGAGGAAGTCAGGACAGGAACTCAAGCAGAGCAGGGACCTGGAGGCAGGAGCTGATGCAGAAGCCATGAAGAGATGCTGCTTATTGGCTTGCTCATCATGGCTGGCTCAGCCTGCTTTTTTATGGAACTCGGGATTAACACCCCAGAGATGGCCCCATGCATAATGGGTTTGGCACTCCCCAAATAAATCACCAATTAAGAAAATGCCTTCCAGGCTTACCTACAGCCCAGTCTTGTGGAGGCATTTCCTCAATTGAAGCTTGCTCCTCTCTGATGACTCTAGCCTGTGCCTCGTTGACATAAAACTATCCAGAACAAACAGTTACTTTAGATTGGAGTGAGAGGTTTTGCTATCCATAGAATGGAATGAGTATGTTCTAGCTTAGTATTTCATTAGTCCACAGCTACAGAGGGATGCTGTGAGAATACAAACCCTGGGGATGCTGTTTCCCTGTGTTAAGGTGGAACACAACTGGCTCTCACAAGAAACATAAGGGTAGGTAATCCACAAACAGGAAAGGGATTCATGACAAAGGCACTCTGGATATCATGATACTGTCTGATGATTTTTGCATTTGGAGATTGCATCGGGCAGTCATATGCAAGTTTGAGTTGAATGACACATGTATTACTTTAGACATTGCTTCATATAAGGAGCCCCACATACATGCCCCTTTGTTGTACAACTATTTGCCAGTTAATGTGCGGTTACCCTTTGTATACTATGAATATGTTTTATTACCATTGGTTAATATAGAAGCTGCTTTGGCCTATGACAGGGCAGAATATGACAAGGCAGGAAATCAAAGCAGAGACAGAGAAGAAAAGAAGGCAGTCAGGCAGACACCATGTAGCCACCCAAGATGCAAGAGGTAACAAATCATGAGCCTTGTGGTAAAATACAAAATAATAGAAATGGGTTAATTTAAGATGTAAGAGTAAGTTAATAATAAGCCTGAGATAATAGGTCAAACAGTGCTGTAATTAATATAGTTTCTGTGAGATTATTTGGCTAGGGGTGACTGGGAAAACAAAGCAGAGTCTCTGTTTATACCAAACAGCTCTATTAATGGGTTTTCTTTTCTTTGGGAACACTCTGTGCTTGTTAAACAATAATTCACTATCCCCCTCTCCCAAATTCAGCATCCACCATTTCATTTTTTTCTGTGTAAAAATTTGTCTATGTCTATGGGCTGAGTAGTTTTTTTAACATAGGCATACTGAAAGAAATTTCCATTGTAGTTATATTAAAAGGTGGGGATATTAAGAAAACTTGACCTCCCATAGCTGTTGTCAAATCTCCTCCTTTACTCATTCTGTAATTTGTCATTACTTGGAGGCATCATATTGGGTTTGCTCACTGATGGCTGCATTTGTTTGCTTTCTCTTTCAATATGCCTATGTTAAGGTTAGGGGTGGTAGCCCATATCTACTTCCACATTCATCGCTAAAATCCTCTCTGGTTTGAACTTGTGTTCAGGGAGATAATGTAAATGTTGTTTCAGCAATAGAGCATCACCACCAGTATGTGAAGAACAACCGACAGCTTAGGAAATAATGTCTATGGTTGTAAGGATTGTAGCATGCCTATCAAAGGCTTCAAAGCTAACCACCTCCCCCTCTCCAAACGCTTCTCAGATCTGTGTCACTGCTCCTTTCTAAATGGAGATAGAGGAGGAATGGAAGGGGAAAAGGGTAGATGAAAATGTGGGGGTACTGGGAGGAGAGGAGGGAGGTGAAACTGCTAAACTACTATGGTTGGTATGAAAAATAAATGAAAATGTTTTTAAGAACAAAAATCTAATTAATTAAAAAAGAAACTATACTCAGGATATATTGTATTGATGTTAGAAGTCCTTCTGTATATGTGTTATTGTAACTGCAGACATGGTCACTTTGATGTCGCTGACACAGTCACAGGGAAGCTGGTACAAGACTGAGATGCTGAACAAGGGAGAGTTACACCCAGCAATATGGTGGAGCAGTACAAGGTGCCATCATACCACACAGAAGCCAAGAGTTTTCATAAAAATCTTTCATACCACTGTTGGTGATGTGCAAATAGAACTCTGCAAGCAAACCAGAAACAACGATGAAAAGCCATCCATCACAGAGGAACCACCCACTCTTCCTCCTAGAACACCAGCACCACAGTCAGTTCTGTCTTCAAGACAAATACTGTGTTTGACCATAAAACTGTCACCTCACAAAAATTCAAAGAGTAGACACTACATTTGAATTTAATGTTTATTTTTAAAGGCATCATTTGGTACATTGGAACAGTTAGCAATCAAGTCACCAGAGGAATTCAAGACACAAATCGGTACAGAACATCAGTTACAGCAGCAATCATGTCTTACTAGAGCAAACATACCAGATTTTACCTCCTACCCTGGCTTTTCAATGTCTATAGTGTCTTCTGCACACAGCAGAGGTTGCCTAATTTAAAGAGGATGGGGTTCTTCTGTATGTGTTTCCCTAATATCTTCCCCTCCTTCTTATCACCAAGCAGCTCACAACATAGGGTACATGGCATAGGAAGCGATGCCACAGTAGTTGTTCTGGTCTCTGGGAATCTTCATGTAGCCTTTCTCTCCCCAGTTGTCTCCATGGCTGAAAGAAATCAGGTTTTCCACTTAGTAGAAAGGACACGACAGAGCAGATCATTGCAATAGCTCCGCATTTGAGCACTGAGCCAGAGATCAATGCAATAGAAAGCATTAGAAAAGGCAGAGAATCGATTCCAGAGTACCAAGAATTATCTCACAGAGGACAGCAAAAGTCACAGCAGGAAAAATTAGGGCATCTTCCATCCACAGGTTGCTCAGAAAAAAACGATGAAAAATAGAAAATCGATGATACGAAGATTATATTGATTGCCAAGGAAAGCAGCGACAGACTCTAAAGTCTCTGTTCCTATATTATATGTTATTTGCTCCAGAAGACAGCGATCAGAAAGTAAATTCAGATTACACAAGCGTAAGGTTTGGGGTGTGAGCCCAAGTTCTCCTTAAAGCCGAAATGAGGCTGAAGATATGTTTCAGTGCCTACGAGCACTTGGAGCTCTTGCACATGACCAAAGTTCCCTCCCAGCACAGCCAAATCAGTGAGCTCACGCTCCCCTGTAACTGAAGCCGTAGAGACTGTGGTGTCTTCATTTGGTCTGCATGAGCATCTGCTCACATGCAGCATTCACTCATACAGACACACACTTACAACAAATGAAAGTAACTTTTAAAAAAACTAGGATGTTTCTGCAGTCAATCTGTAACTGACGAAGTCAGCCATTACTAGAACAAACTGGATAAGCACACTACCAAAAATAGAAAACTCTAGGACCAGTAACCCTTTCTTCTTCAATATATAAGAACTAAGGAAGAAAACTGATATCAGCATCAGGTCTACACACACACACACACACACACACACACACACACACATTCCTTTTCAACTTAATTGTAACTGCTTTCTGTGACTTCTACATAAACTCTCACTATAAACATAAACCTCATTTGAAAACTAAACTACAAATAATTTCATCAATTTATACCTGTTCTTGACCAGCCAATATTTCCTGCCCTCTGACTCTTTGCCTTCAAAGCCATAGCCGACCAACAGCATACCATGGTTAGGAGAATTACGTCTGCATTTAGGCTCATGGTATATACCTGAAAAATAAATTGAGGAAGGGAAGGGCTCCAGGAACTTGATAGTGGCCATGGTCAACAATAGTAAATGAGGCATGTTACAATTGCACTAAAATCACAGAAAGTCTTTCTCTACACCCATATAAGATGACTTTTTCATAGTTTGTGTTTTCACTAATAGAACCTGATTCAGGAAACCCTAACTGAACATAAATTACTTAATGAAAGACATTCTTTATAATTCAGTTCTGAAAAAAACAATTATTCAACAACTTAAAAATATGCCTGGTAGAGAAAAATGAAGTAAATAAAGTTAAACAATAATGATGGATAATGAAGGGTTCACATGGATAGAGATGTCATGTCACATAGTGACAACACACATGATTATTGCATGGACAAGTGAAAAATTTACAAACACTAATGCTCACATCAAATTTTATACATTATTAGGGCATCAACCCAGAATGTCCCAAAGGGTCACAAGCACTCTTCACTAATATCTAGAAAAACACATACTTACCTCCCGTATATTTTTTAAAAGATTCATGTTCAGCATCAATTCCAACAGCAATGGGCCCATGAGTTACTAAAGCATTCAGTAGGGCTTCTTCATTCCTTGGGACAACGTAAAAGCGGGCAATCTTGACAACAGACCGTTCAGCACGGTACCTGCAGCGTCCTTCCTTTAAAAAGTAAAGAGTTAAAAGATTTGGTTACTTCCATTTACCTTCTGGAGAGCAAAAGTCAGAACCACAACACTTGGCACTTTGCAGAGGACCAACCCCACATCTGGACTGTTATAAATCATTCCAGGAAGGGAAATGTTACTAGGAGATTTGAAACTGAAAATTAGCTCTTATGGCTTCAGTGACACCTCATTGGGCTACCTATCTATAAGAAACTTTCATGGTACAGAAATCTGTATTACATGTGGAATGGTTTGCACATTCTCCATGTGCAGAGAATCAAGAACACCTACATTGAACAATGGAATCAGAGAAGCATGCAATGGTGGATACTATTTGGCAGAACTGGTTGTGTAAAAGAGAGGTTGTACATTCAATGTGACCTCTGAAAACAAAGGATTATTTCTGCCATTTTCTGCTTACCCCAGTGAAATCTAAATGACCACCCTGTAAACTCACTTACCTTTGCTTCATATGGATAGGTTGCTTCAGCCTCCAAACCTCCAATGTTCTTTACATACTGGAAGGCACTATAAACTTTGCCTCCTTGGCAGCCATTAGTGCCATAAGATCTAGAACAGTCTATTAGGTTCTGGACACTCAGTGGGATCATTTTGCCTGTTTTCTTAAACAGTTGTCCTTCTATGGAAGCAGCCACAGTAAAAGCCCAACAAGCACCACAACCTAGCTAAGGTGGGAAGAAAATATTGTCATTCACAAACAAATACTAACTGCAATAATAACTTAAGATATTGAATGCTTTATCAAAAAATGGACTATTGGCATTTGATTGATGCCTAAGTAAGAATGATCGATCTCCATTGAAAGGTGTCTTATGCCCCAGTGAGTAGCCACACAAAAACACAGATACACATAACACCATGATCTATTGGATGTCTGATGCAATAAATGTTATAATTGGAAGAAATTAAGTCTGGTAAGAGATGTAGTTGGACTATTGATGGAGGATTAAGGGTAAGTAGTACACGGAATTTATCTGTGAATGGGTCATATAATTGCTAAGGCATGATGTAGGGATTGCTCATTCATTGGGACAACCAGGAAACATTAGTTACTAGCGACAGAATGGTAATTACAGTACCAGTGGCATTCAAGTTACAAGAATGTGTTTGGTGAATAGCATGTTGTACTACATTCAAACAAGATAGGCATGTCAATAACTTGCTCCATCCCAGTAGTTGAGGAAGAAGTCAAGTGATGTTGTCATACCTGTCTCCGCACAGGGGCGACATAGCCTTTTGTCCTCCAATCCAAAAATTTTGGGACTGTGATCTCTCGTTTCTGGATGGGTTTCCCATTCTTTAGAGTCAGAACTGAACTCCCCTTCATCATTTCCCTCATCTCTTCACCAGTCTTCAGGGAACAGCACATAAAGACTCAATTTAAACAACAGAAGAGGAAAAGAACGAGTGCGGGACAGTTTGAGTCACACTCACCATGTCACCAAATTCATTCATCTCTACGGTGACGTTGTTCATCCCCAGGCCATTCTCCTCACTGAGCAGTTTGATCATCTTGACATTGTCTTCCCATATTGCTCTCCGATGTCTTTCTTCCTCCTGGAAATAAACAGAATGAATGGCATTCATTTCTAATTACACCCCTGCACTACCTGACCACGGGGACTGGCTGCTGCATATGCATAGACGTTGTAGAGAGAAATCTCAAGACCCTAAAGCAAGCCACTCTCAACACCCAATGAGCAGAGACAGTGGCCACTTTGTGCTTATCTTCTGTTACATTGATACCTCAAGTAGGGATGGCATCTATGGTCTCTGTTATATCCATGGACCCCCAACAGCAATGAACGTGCTCTACAAAGACACTGCTTCGGGTGTCCATGTGACCTACTTGGCTGTATGTTTTCTCAAAGTTCCTCTTCCACTCCTCCCACTCAGCATCCAAACTGTAATCTGGTGTTGGAGCAGCTGAGGCCAGTCCCAAGCACAGGATGGTTAAGAAGACAGCAGCAATCATGTCTCAAACACCTGTAGAGAGGAGAAAAATGAAGAGGAGAACACGCCAACACTCTTGAGAAATTAAGCCATTTGTGCCAGATAAAATTATTCCAACTACTCTCCCAAATACTGACTCAAAGATTTTTGAAATAGCTAAACATGAGTTTGAACTGGAAATGTCATGGATAGCATTTAGTTTTTACATAAAATTGCCTGTGGAAAAAAAATTCTAGAAATTCAAGGAAACTGCCGTGTACTGCAAATTGACATGATCAGAAAGATGACTATGGGTATCAAAATTCAAATCTTCCATAACTAGGGTCTTGCAACAGTTAACTGAGTATTTGTAATAATACAAAACTTCTCTGGTGTGGCATCTGATCCAAAGAATCTGGGGTTCACATTACATCGTGTCCTGTATTAATAAGGATCAGGAGATGGGCTTGTTAGAAACATTCCCTCTTAAAAGAAAGCATCGTAGACTGCCCCTCCTTCATATGGGTAGATCAAAGTTACTAGTAGTCCAGGCATAACTGGAACTTTGCCACACACTCTGACTCTGCAGAAAAGGCTCATATGGAAAAGCCCCCTGGAAACCATAGCCACCACTTACGATAGGCTACTAGATAAAGACTTCTTAAAATTTCAGAATCAGGCCCAGCTGGGTCTCAAAAGTCATGCTTCCTATAGATCCTATAGATCTTGACTAGAGGAATGCAGCCTTATACTTCTGTACTTGACTATCATAGAAAGAAACTTCTTTCTAGTGGTGGTGTTCAGAAAATAATCTCTGTAGGCTGAGAATGAGATTAAAATGATCCTGGTGTGGATGGTTTCTGCTGCCACTCTCTCTGGCCAGGACCAGACTTGCACTGAATTGGAACCTATACAAACTTGGACCCCGGAGGGGTCTGGTTTTCTCTCTGGATTCCCTGACCTTTTCTACCTCCACACAGCAGGGCTGCTGAAGTTGAGAAGATATTCTCATTCCTAGGAATCTGCCTGGTTCTCCATGGAGTCTTTCAAGGCTTCTACTCCAGGATCAATTCCTTTTCAGCCTTGTTGGAAGCAGGTCCTCACCTGTGTCAACCACTGTTTCCTCCGTGCGCTGCAGAAGCTCTTCTGAGGTTGCTGAAGTGTCAGGATCTGGCCCATCAACACCTCACTCGGACTTTAAATCCTAAGTCTCTGTCTAGTCAGCCCTTTTTCATCAACATTTCCCTTCTTCTGATTGGCTACGGTGGTAACTGGATTGGGCCTCCAGGCTCCTAATGAGATTCAATCTTACCTGTCCTAGAGATGTGGATGTGGACTGCTTCCTGTGGATGATGGCTGAACTTGTGGATTTTCAGAAAGGAAGTTGCTGAACCAACCTTGAGGCTGTGCATCGCACAACATCCTGCCATTTTTTCTCAGCAAATGCTCAAAATTGACGATTTCGGATGTTTCCCGGAAAAGCTTTGTAGGATTTCAGCCTTGCACGTAGTTTAGAATAAGAGGATTAGGTTGCCATGGAGCATGCTGTCAGCATATTCTACACTTGTAGTTCATGTTTATTCCATAGGTACATTGGGATGCTTTGAGAACACTAACATTGGCATGCCTTCTTTTCAGTGTTACAGAGGAACAGAGCTAGATTTCAGGAGAAGCCTAAAGTTGGAGGGGTGACTCCATATAGTGAATGTTTCTCAAGACCAAAGAGGAGGAGGGAAATGAAGGCCCTAGTGTGCATGGTCTCATGAAACTTTCCCACATTTCCCTGCTGGAGGTAAAGTTGAACACTCATTGCCAGGCACCATCACCTGTCAATAGTTTCATTCAGCAACACATGTATCACCTGAAATTTCAACATTTACATTTTAGATATAAATCTAAGTGTCCCTTGGGACACCATCATTGTGCAAAATCACCAAGTAGATCTCTGGGAAGATTTCATCAGCTTTTGGGAAGCTACAGACTAATTAATAACAATCCACCTATCCCTGTCCTCACCCTCAGTACCCCTTGCTTCATTTTCTCCATTTAGTATTTTGCCTGCTGCCATACATGGAATGTTTTTCCTGACCATTGCCATGTTAGAGGAAATTTCTACTTTAGAAAATTTGGAAGAGGGACCATTAGGAAATAAATCAGTCCCCTGTACCTACTGTCAAAATATCCTCCTTAATCAAGTTATGAAATTTTATGTTAAATTAACACAAATATATTCTGTTTCTGTAATCAATATGACATTTTATTGGTTCCTTTGATGAGGAGAAAAGTGTATGATACCTATCTACTCTATATCCTACACTACCAAATTTTCACAAAATCTAAACTCTATCAATACATTTCTAAATGTAATACAAACGGTGATGAATATTTATGTCATATAGAATAACCCAGTATAATGGTCATAAATCTTGTACATGCCTAAGTATTCATTACTTGCTTAATAAACCTGGAACGCTCCATTTGGAGTTTTGAGTTTCTGCTAACAATGTCTATGCACGTCCTCACTATCTCATTCCCTTGAAGAACACTGATAAGCCGAGTCACCACAAATCATTATTGCTATCTGATAACCCTCCAAATCTGATCATGGTTCCCTTCCTCCACGGTGACCCAGGTGAAGTCTACTCATCCTTGTCTGTCTGCAGCAAGAACCCTGAATATCTGTTCATCCAGCCAATCCTTCAACTCTGATGCTGTTTTGTTGCAATATTGTTGCATTTTCAGATCTCCATACTTCTCTTTGTCTGTAAATCTGCTATATGGATGTATGTTGAGCAAACTCATCTATTGAGCAGACCCTTAGTAAATTTTTCCTAGTAATGATGTATTGAGTGTCACAGAATATCTTTTTTTGCTATCCAATATGGCACCAGATGAGCGAGCATCTTCTTCAAATCATGACCATATTCTTATAGAGACCTAGGAATTTTCTCAGATGGCCTCAAGAATCAAGTGTGGTCCAGGAACAAGGCGAAAGGATCTAAACCTCACTTGCCCTTTCTAAGCTGCTCTAGCACGACCTTACTTGACATTCTTACCCCACATTAGAAAAATAGGACCACCCTTCATCTGCGTGCTTCACTAAAGTGAAGCATGAACAAGTTTGGTCATAGAAGACACCTCATCATCCGTTCACGGATTTTTATATGATCAGTGGCGACTCCATCCCTAAGATCTTGCTAGGAAATCTTTTTGTTGGTTTTGTTTTGTTTTGTTTTTCAAGACAGGGTTTCTCTGTGTATCTCAGGCTGTTCTGGAAGTCACTCTGTAGACCAGGCTAGCCTCAAACACACAGAGATCCACTTGCCCCGCCTCCCTGAGTGCTGGAATTAAAGGTGTGTGCCAACATCACCCAGCTGGAAAGCATAATTCTTAAATCTACCCAAGATGTGCAAAACCAGAGCTTCAGGAAATTGCATCCAGACATTTAAGTTTTCTCAAGCCCACAGGTTAGTGCTGACCTCCACTGAAGTTTGGGGGGCCCTGTAAATGGTAGTTGTAGAAATGAGAGGAGATGCCTGTTTATAAAGCTCAGAATGACACTGGGAACCTCAATGCTATTTTATTAGTATTCCTCGTATGATTTCTTTCTTACACCTATAACCTCACAACTGAATTTTAAAAAATTAAATATGTTTTGAGACAGAAAGTCATATCAAGAAATTCCTCCTCAAAACTCAACCTGTGACTATGAAATGATATTTGTTGCCAGGCAAACCTTATTAGCAACTGGAACCTCTGGAGAACTGCACATCCTTGGCAGTTATGACCTTGACCATTCTCACACGTATGGAAGCCTTTTGCTTCTCCCAATAATAGATTATAACCTGAAAACCAAATAATCTCTTTACTCCTCATGGCTGGTTTTGGTCATGATAGTTATCACAGCAATAGAAAATGGGCTATAAGCTAAAGAACCAAAATGCAACGATAGCACCCTATTATAAGTACTGAGAAGCATACATTCAAATAAAATGCTAGAGTGTGAAGATCCTTTCTGTGTAGAGAAAGTCTGTGAAATCATTTCTTACCCATTATCCTAATAGCACTCAAGAATTTCAAATTAACGGTCCCTGAACAGTGACATATATATGTAGTAAATCCTTGTCTCAAGTAGAGGGACACTGCAGTGAGGCCAATCCTTTTCCAGAGTTCATGGAGAAAAAAAGAACACAGGTTGACATTAATCAAAGTTTATTGTGCTACTGCTTGTGTCAAAGAAGAATCTGGACAAAGCTTCCTGCTTCCTTCTATTTATGATGCATGAAGGGTGAATGCTGCCTGATACTCAGAAGTCTGTCCTAAAAAAAAATTAAAAAAAGAAGCTACAGCAATGATCCCTGGAACTATGTTCTTTTTTTCTAATTAGTTCTTTGGGACTTATTTTTCTCACACTCAGCCCCCTCTATGAACCCCTCTCAGACCTGCACATCCTTAACTACTAATCTCATGACCCACCTACATCACTGGGACATTTTCTAAACCATCAAAACTAATTGTTCTGCCTAAATATTCTTGGTCTTTCACTGATGTACTGGCTTAGCTGGGGCTACAGTCTTAGTGAACAATAACTCTCTCTCTCTCTCCCAGCAGCAAGACTTGTCAATAGCTCCATGCCTAGTGGTGAGACTTTATGCCTAGTTGCCTTGTCCAAGTAGAGATTTGTTCTTGGCTTACACAGGTCTAGTGTGTGCTGTGACATTACCTGTGAGTTCATCTCTGCAGCCTCCCCGTCTTGTCCAGAAGACTTTGTTTCCCTGTGGTCATCAAATATTTCTAGCTCTCATACTTTCCTGCCACAGTGATGGCTGAACCATGAAGGAGCAGTTGTTCTATATATGTCCCATTTCCAGCTGAGCATTTTGCAGCATCTTAGTCTTCTTTGCCAGTTCTAGGTCTTTGTGATAATCACCAACCACAGCAAGTAGAAGCTTCTATAAATGGCTTGAGATATGTATTAATTTGGGGGTATAATAAGTCAATATGGGTTCATTAAATAGCATGACTAATCAGTAGCATTATAAAAGTATATTTAC